GGTATCAGAGTTCAGGTTGCTCTGTGAGAATTTCCAGTTTTCCCTTAGATTAGATTTATTTTCTTACCTTTTGTCCAAGAAAAAGCCACAACAAAAGTTAGATCTATTCACCCTTTGTCCAAGCCAGTCCGAGCCTTTGCAATTTTCTTTTCATTGTTTGCATTATTGAATTATCGGTTGCATCGTCGTGTCGAGTTGCTGGTCTTAGTGTCTAGTTCGTTTAGAGTTTCGAGTTCTGTTCATATTAGTCACGCTGCCGCTGCATCATTATTCCTTCCATTGTCCACCATCCCATCCATCAATTTCCATCACGTGCTATCCACCGTTCATTGTCTTCATCATAGTTGAGGTCATTCACATCTTCACTTGATCCAAACTGCATCTTATCTATTTTGTTTTGGAAAGAGGGAAAGAGAAAAAAACGAGAGAAAAAAAAGTAAAAAAAAGTCAGAAAAAAAAGAGAGAAAGAAAAAGAAAAAAGTGTGATGAAAAAAAGGAGAAAAAAAAATTCGAACCTATCTAGACTCAATCTCGTAGCTGAATTCGGATTGGAATATATTTTATGCATTGTTCAGTAAAACAGTCATAACTTCCTCATACGACGTCTGTTTTGGCTCCGCGAGTAATCGAATTAAAGCTAGAGACGAGCCGCATCTAAATAGTTGAAGAAGCTAGTTCAATATTTGGCACCTCAAAATCGACTTCTAAATAGGTCTTTTTGCCCTCCGAAGTTCGCAAACAAAGCTTATTCCATTTTTTCAAGCCAATTTTAGAATTTTTTGACTCCTCATATCAACTCGGAATTGAGTGATTCTTTTTGCATTGAAAAGCTTGAGTTAGTAGCATTCTTTGAAAAAAATTATCAGAAAATTGGCTTAAACTTTTCAAGAGGAAAGTTGGAGAGAGAGAGTTGTTGTATATCCTGCTTGGCTGTTGTTTCACATCATTATCTTTACTGCTATTGTGATCTTCACTTTTATCTTGCTGTCCAGAGCTACTTCATATCCTTTATTGATGCTAGTTGTGCTACGCCGTGACCTCATTAGTGTTCTAGGCTCGCGTCTCTAGTCCGGTCTAGCCTAGGACCAGCACAGTACCATCGTTGAGCGGTTATTCAACATTGCATCTTTAAATTGATTATTGTTAATCTTTTGCTATCATATATAGCCAACCCAGCTCCACATATTTCTACACCGTGTATAATTACGTTCTCCTGGCAATCGCTTTACACAATCTTCAGAGTTACTTGACACCGTTGGTTGCCTGTCACCACCTGCCGCATGGTAAGAACTTGTAAGATATTGATATTTGCTATATACTATGAGGGTTTTACCACCACATCCTAGTATTTCATAGGAACATTATTCTCGAATTTTGTTTCTTGTTTTCTACTAATTATGGCAGGTTCCGGAGTTGTTAGTTCTTGGGCTTCATCGATCGTGGGAGATTTGCCATCACCTAAGAAAATACAACAACCGTCACAAGAGGAGCAACAACATCAGAATGCACATAATCAGGTTAATGTTTTCATGCCACCATTTATTGGTCGTTTTAGACCTAATTTATATATTGAATGGGAGTACGAAATAAATGCTATATTTGCTTCCCATAATTTTGATGAGCATGGAAAATTTCAAGCTGTGGTTAGTACTTTCAGTAGCTTTGCTTTAGTTTGGTGGAGTGAATATTGTCGGTTAAACCCTGATTTTATACCTAGTACTTGAGATGATTTAAAACTTGTCATGAGAGATAGATTTGTTGATGTTTATTATACTCGTTGCAAGATTAAAAAATTACAACATTTAAGACAAGGCACTAACACGGTAACAAAATATTATGATGATTTACAAACTACATTGTTGCACTCATTTTTAGAAGAAAGTGAAGACTATTTTATGGATAGATTTTGGGGAGGATTAAACTATGATATTCAAGAGATACTAATTCATGAAGAGTGTTATCCTATGGTCCATTTGTTTCGTCTTGCTTGCAAAGCTGAACAGGAAATAAAACGACGTGTTGCCCACAAGGAGAACAAGCGCACGGTGCACATTCCAAGTCTGGATACAGATGTTTCTTCAACTACTAGGCATACTATCACAACCACATCCGTTGTTGTGATGACTACATCATCTCCACCATGTGACACATCACCATCGAGAGTGCCTACATCATCTGAGTTGATCATAAGAGGTAATGACAAAGGTACAGATTTTCCACTTTCACATGAGAATGATGCATGCCTAGTTAACTTGAATACATCATTTGTTGAGTTACCTATTGATTTTGGTACACCACCTATTTTAGAGAATTGTGTTACTGTCATGAATGCGTCATGTGATCAAACAATTAAAATACCAACAATTTTGACTGCATCCATTGAATTAACTGTTGATGCAAAAGAACCAATGTTTAATCATTTTGATATGACCTCTAATCTTGGTAATGATTCTGTGACCAATGACTTATTGCATGTTTGCTTATTTAAGCATGTTGTAGCATGTAAATTTGATGCGATTAAGGTTTATTCATCAATGTTAGGATGGTTTAATGATGAACATTGTCAACCTTTTGAAATAAATAAGAGCTTCGCTTATATGTGCAAACTGAGTTGCAATATTTTCATGCCTTCTACTTCTTATGATAATATTTTGGCTTTAGGTTTTATGAACTATGAAGGTTACTCATGTATACATGTGTCATATGTGCAAAAACCAAGAAAAGTAAAAATGGATGACATATACATATACAACATGTACACCTTGTCTCTTTTGTTAGCCACATTTCAGATTAAGCAACGTCGAGGACGGTTTTGTTTTCAAGAAGGGGAGGATGATGAGGACATGACTACCATGGATATGACCAAAAATATTGCATACATGTATATTTGTGAGGTGATTTCTAATGCAAACTATGCAATAATTTATTTATGTCATCCAGCACAAACATACTTCACAAACTTTTGTGTAATTTCCAATTGCAGGTGTATAATACATTTGTACAATCCACATATGAAGATAAGAGGAAAAGAGATGTTTAAGTGTTGTTCAAAAAGTCCTCTCATGTCACTTTTGGGCCAAGAGAAGATAGAGTCCAAGTCTCTCAAGTTCTGAATTCAGATTCGGACTGCACATACATACCTGACTCAAAACGCCAAGAACTCTTTCATACGGACTTCAAATTGGGTGATTCTTTTTTTCTTGGAAAGTAGATTTCGTGCTCTTTCCAACCCAATTGGAATCACCTTAAAATCCGTCCGGAGCATTGAGATATCGACGAAACAATCTAACACCGCAGCAGAATCCGAGTCAAACTACAAGTCCAAAGGTGTTGCATCACCTCCACTTGGGCCCATGAGCCTTGTACGACCTAGGGTTAGTTTTAGGCTGCCTTGGGACGTCCTCCCACCTCCTTGGCCGCCACCCCTTGCTCCTATATAAGTAGATCCGTCTAGTAGCTTTTTCCTTGGGATTTGTTTAGTTAAAAGTTAGCCATTGCAACTTCATGTACTTCGTTTGTGTCCAACGACCAGACCAAGACCGCTTACGGATCCCCACCTTTATCAATACTTCATATATACTCGCAATATTCAGATTGCTTTTATCATATTCTTGCTTGTTCTTTGATTGCTTGCAGGAATAGACCTTCGTGGTCAGGTTGATTGTGCTCCACGCGTGGTCAATAACCTCCCGGAGTTGGTTTAGCGATTGCCAAGGCGCAACGTCATGCACGTTTGTAGTTGGATCGTCAAAGTCATCTTCACCAAATCGATAGTTATCGTCTCATCGAAAGATCGGGACCCTCGCCTCTATCAGCCATCTTAGAACCAAAACCATCAATTTATATACCTCTTGGAGTTACTTGTTATCGATCAACTCAATAGATTGGCTTGTGAATCAATAAAAAGAGGACGAGGATGATGATGTGAGAAGAACATAATGTGTCCTGAAGAAGACATAAATAAACTTTCGGGCTAGACCCCCAAACCATGCAGTCAAGTGGCCTACTCCGCATCTTTTGTTTTCTTTTATTGGGCCTCATGGAATCACTCCTCTAAGTGGGCCATGGGGTATGCGCTGCATATTGTTTCCTCGATTGGGCCACGGGGTTATAATTAATGCATGAAACTAAATTAGTGTTTTCTTTGTAACCAATGATTTGATTAGGCAGATAACAATTACATAACACAAACTTCATCGTGCCTCAACTGGGTCTGAAAAAACACACCAACTCAATAAATTGGATCTTTCTATTATCATTAGATAGTATAACCTCACCCTCCCTAGAACCAAAACCATCAATTTATATACGTCTTGAATTTACCAGCTACTGATCCACTAAGTCGGCTTGAAAATTCAATAAGGGTAGGATGAGTATGATAACGTCAGAAGAACACAATGAGTCCCGAAGAAGCTCGTTGTCTGGGGTACTAGAGGATCTCTCCAGGAAAGAAAGAGGACAATAGGGCGGACACATTGAAACAAGTGGACACATGAGCCAGATAACAATGTCCCCTGTTGCAACGCATGAGTATTTGTGCTAGTACTACCTATAATACTACCATTACGATCAGCCTCATATCAAACGGGCTATTTGTCGTTACACCGGTACCGGCGTCACTCTATTCGCTTGGCGCCTCTCACCGCACACACCGATTTGCATTTAAGGAAGCCGACATATGGACTCCAGGACCAAAGAAGCTCGACGTGTCATTCCCTTTTACGTTCTGGCGGGCCACACCTCCACTGACAGCCAATCCTCGCGTGCCACGTTTTGTAGGTATTGCTATGTGTACCGGGAGGTGTACACGCAGTAAGAGGACACCAAACCCTAGCCTTTTTGCTCTCCCACTGCTCGCCCCTCCTGCTCGGCTGCTGCTTCCCCACACCGCCCAGGTAGCTCCACCGCCGGTGGCTCGCTATACCCACCACCTCCGCCGCTTCCTTCCTCCTCGTGCAGGGGAGGTGCAGAAACACCCTAGATCTCTCCCGCGAGCGCGCATGGCGTCCTCCTCCGATGAGCAGCCCAAGCCGCCCGAGCCTCCCGCGGCCGCCGTGGCTGTGGCCACCGCCGCGCCGCAGTCCCACGCAGAGTGGGCCGCCTCGATGCAGGCGTTCTACGCCTCCGGGGGGCATCCCTACGCCGCCTGGCCCGCGCAGGTACGAGATTGCCCAATTTTGGGCCGGACGAGGAGGGGAAAGGCCGGGTGTTCTGACTAGGTTTTTGCTTTTCCTCTGATTCAGCACCTGATGGCGGCGGCGGCGGCCTCAGGGACATCGTACGGCGCGCCGGTGCCGTTCCCCATGTACCACCCGGGGGCCGCGATGGCGTACTACGCCCACGCGTCCATGGCCGCGGTGAGTGCACGAGTCTCCGTTTGGTTGGATATAAACGTTTCTAGTCAGTTTCGTGCTCAATCGGGGGAATTGGACTTGGATTTGGCGGGATTTTTGGTGGTGAAATCGTTGCCTCTGCGCAGGGTGTTCCTTACCCGACTGCTGAAGCTGTTGCTGCCGCCGCCGCTGCGCCAGTTGTGGCAGAAGGGAAGGGCAAGGCTAAGGGCGGTGGCCTGTCTTCTGAGAAGGGCAGTTCTGCTGCGCCCTCTGGCGACGACGCTTCGCAGAGGTACTTTTTTCTTTTCCCTCACTTATCTGTTAATGTAGTTTTTTTTTAATTTAGGATTTAAATTTTCTTGTGCAGCTGTGACAGCGGCAGCGACGAGTCCTCAGACACGAGAGATTATGACACTGACCAAAAGGTACAGAAGAACTTACTGTGACGCAAGGGAGCATTTTAAAGTTGCTTGTTTTCTTTTGCAATTACTATGTTTATGACTTTATTATGTGCTTTATATTGGCTCTCTTCAGGATTCGTCTGCACCTAAGAAGAGGAAATCTGGTAATACCTCAGCGGAAGGTGGGTCATCAGAATGCTCAACTATGTGGTAGCTTTGTTGTTCCTTTAGAAGATTGAATAATTACATTGGTATTTGCCAGGTGAACCGTCTCAAGCTGCTGCTGTTCCATATGCTGCTGTCGAGTCACCGTATCAGTTGAAGGGGAGGTCTGCCTCGAAGCTTCCAGTTTCTGCGCCTGGGCGGGCAGCACTTCCCAATGCCACGCCAAATCTGAACATAGGGATTGATCTTTGGAGTGCTTCTCAATCCTTAGCTGTGATCCCAGTGCAGGGGGAAGCAAATCCTGGGTTGGCCCTTGCCCGATGTGATGGTGTTGGTCAGCTGGTATGGATTTTTTTCCTTCTAATTTTTATGACAGCATCCAGAAAGTGATTTTTCGATGTGTGCCTGTTTTGGAATGCCTCGAAAGTGACGGCGTGAATGGCTTTTGTCTTACAATACATGTTTAAAGACCATGTTTCTGGGAATAAAATTCTATGAGACCAGGTCTCACGGGCCGGGCCAGCACGTGAGACCTCTCCCGATGGATGACACGTCACGATGCCAATCCCAAAGCACATGTAATCCCACTTTGCCTAATTACCCATTCCCGACTCCAATCACGCATACGTATCCTAAAGTGTTGTATGGGATACCTACAACTCGCACCCCATGAGCTAGGGCTCACATGCTGCTCTCGTGCATGGTGGCGCCGGATGACCTCGTCGCCGGCTGCTGCACGGTACTACGCAACCAAGACTTGTCGTCGATGGCCACGCCGAACCACCTCGTCGCTAGCGGCCGCGTGGCTTCATGCTACCACGACTCCTAGCCATGGTCGCTCCAAAGGATCTCATTGCCGGTGGTCGTGTGGCACGATCCTATGCTGACTTATCATCCATGGCTGTACCGAAAGACCTCGCCGCCGGTAGACGTGTAGTGGTAACCGTGCGACAAGATGCATCCAGCTGCTATGTGACGCCGCACTCGTCCAAGACGGCGAACTCCCGGCCGGTGGTTCTAGTGTCAGCTAATTCAGCTAATTAATACGCCATGTTCGTCTAGGACTCTTCCACTCCCGGTGAGTGATCCATGCAAAGCTAGGCTGGTTGAGCGAGTACAGTAGTTCACTGGTTACACCAATCTTCAGATAGCTCATACTGAAACTTGAAAGTAATTAATCTACTAACTATGAAGGTTATACAACTCCAAAGCCAAGAAGAACATATGGTGGCCATGCACCAACACATCGCCGCGCTTGAAGCAGGAAAGGAATGTGTTGATGACGAGCAGCTGCATACGTCTTGACACCCGGCGGCATTGAGGAGTTAGTCCCGCCCTCGGCGAGGACGTGTTGGTGCGTGACCACCATCAACAAGGAGTAGTCTTCCAGCGTAGCCGCCGTCGACGAGGTGTCCGCGCAGGCATCAGCGTCTTGGCGCGTGACTACGACGAACATAAAGTCCGCCCAGCCAGCAACGCCGGCGGCGAGGTCTTCCAGCGTGGGCACTGACAGGAAGTCTCCACATGGTCATCTCGCGCGGATGCTGGTGACGAGATCATTCGGCACGACCATGGACGAGTAGTTGTCAATGTGTCGTTCCGAGCGGCCGCAGGCGACGAGGTCCTTTTGCTTGGCCGTCATCAACGAGAGGGAGAACAAGCAAATCCTAAATCACTGTGTACTTGTGTACGTATATGTACCTGTTCAAGTGTAGGAATTGCATTCAGGATTTTGGAAATTAATGGGCAAAGTGGGAGTAGCTCTTTAAGATTGTGAATGCCACGTGTCATCCATCGGGGCGGA